TGGGAGGCCGCAACAAGGAGCCTGCAAGATATGGTGGCAGCAGTGGGGGGCCGGGGAGCTCAAACATCAACACCCCCGCGGGAGAATCCGCGGCGAGGACAGCTCCCTCTCTGATTTGGAGACCTGCACCCAAGTGCTTCATGGACCGGGTCTGTGAGGCCTACCGAGACCGCCAAGTGCGAGGTCTTGGGGTCCGGATCAGAGCAGGCGCTGCCGGGCATTGAGGGGCCACGCCCTTTGAGCCGAGGACTCCGTCTCTATCGTCTCTTGGCCCTCCGGGTTCCAGAGGTGCAGGACCCCGCTGGGACGAGGGTGACCGGCGCCATGGAGCGGATCATGTGAAGTATGTCTCCGAATGGGAAGACTTTCCCTTGCACTGAGAGGAGATCCAAGGGTGAAGGGGTATTAGAGCTAAGGGCCTGGGTAAAAGGGAAATTGAGGTGGTGTATTGGTTGCGAGTTCGGGGATGCCGTGTTGTGTGTGGGGTGTCGCCCATTCGCAGATAGGGGGCTTGTGGGAGAGTGCCGATTCGCGAGTTCGGGGCGTCACGTTGGGGTGAGTTTGCTATCGGGCGGGGGCATAGCAGAGAAGTGGAATGTGTTGTTGATTGCAGGGGATGGCGCGGTTGTAAAATAATTGTGGTGATTTTTTTTCTTCATTAGTGTTCCTCGAGTTGGGGGAGTTTCTCTGCCTGCCTGCCAGTTGCTGCTGCTGTATTGACAGCCGGGACGGCTGTTTTTATTAACGGAGCGGGGGGGGGGGTGATGTCGTGATGTAGCACTGACTGTTGTACAGCAGCTGCAATTGCAGGTGGGCGCACACGCCGTTGAACATATAAACGGGTGTGTTGGCAGGGCGGAGGAACTGGGACAAGGGTCACCATAGACCTCGTGTGGGTGCCCCTGGAACCCCCTGGTGGGATCGAGAAGAGAGGCGTGGCTAGGGTGGAATAAAAGCAGTGGAGAGCGAGAGCTCCGGGCTGCCGGTTCTGGGATTGTACTCGTCTTGTCGTCGCTGTCATCATCGCCGCCCTCGTCGCTGCCACCTTCGCCTGATCATTGCACGGCCGGATAGTACTTAGTTGTCCCAGTCGACGCCATCGGTGTGAATATATGCACCCTTTATTGCAAACATAACCACACTCGTTACACACGTCACAAATACTACGTTAATACGGCAACTGAACGTCCATTCCGTCAATGCTTCTGGTAACAAGAGACATTCAAATTCAAGAATGTGGACAGGACGTGTTCAGGGCCAATGTTTTCCAACCTTTAATACGCCCTTGGGATGCTCTCATGGTCTTCAGTACTGGACTTAAAATCACAGGAGGGAGTACACGGTTTTGAATTGGCTATAGCTACTTAAATAAATGCCAACAGGCGGACACAAGCCCTGAGTTCATTGATGTGTTTGATGTCAGGAGCCATCATGTCAGTGCTCTGCACGTTTTGAGTGGACACTTGCAGCTGGAACTTAATGACGAGGTCACGACCCTAAACAACATCAGAAAACGATTCTCACAAATTGGTTGTTAGGGGTTGTTGTTCATCTCAGCGGTGAGCTGAAACAACAATTGGCGTGTTTTAACCGCTCGTACCGTGACAATTGAATGTGTGTGGCTATAATCAGGTGGCAGAAGGTTTTACATCACAATTTGAGCAAATAATTAAGTAGCTCAGTACAAAAATCGATTATGAATCGAGGCGTGAATGCATGGCCTGTGGGAACACATGTGGTCATATCGAGTGCTGAGTAGGTGCTTACGAACGTTTCTCTCATCGTAAGCAGCTGCGATTAATTTTTATTTCGCGTTTTAATGACATTGTGGATATACATTTTCTCCATTGCCCATCCCCTTTCTCTTCCCTGCCCTCGCCCCTCCACTCCTTCCTGGCCCTCCCCTGCCCTTCCGTGACCTCAAAGTGCCCTGTGTTGTGGTCACTCGTTCATTGGCCCTTGCACGCCCCTGCCACCTAAATCACTCTATTTGTGTTACGCTTTTTAAACTTTGCCTTGAGATTATGCGCTCTATAAGATTTGAACATCCCGGAACCCTTGAACAGGGCGGATTGGGGAAACAAAAAATATATTTATACCTGACAGCTGTGGAATATCTGACAAGGTGGCCGCAGTCATGAGCTCTGGTGGGGGCACGTCTTCGATACGGAGCCCTGGAGAAGCTGTCGATAGATCAGGGGGGCGGGGGCGCTTGGAATCTCTCGTTGCCACAGCTGCTTCTGGATGTTACTAATGCATGGGCATAAAGCATGCCCCCCCCCCTACACAGAAGCAAAGGAACACCCCCAGATTGAAAATTTGGCAGCCCGAGACAAATGTTATTCCAGCGCAAAACAAATTGTATGAAATGAGATCTGGTTCATCAGCCAAATAACCAACTGGATTCATGCATTGCAGCAAAATGTATTTGAAGAGATAAATCTTGGAGAAGCTTCGACATGAGCGTCAGCAGACTGCTAAAGCAGTGCTTCTGAACTTTTTCATTCCACGGCACTCACACTTTTGAGTTTCCTCGATCATCGCGGCACACCGAGGGTGAGGGCTTACGGCTGTCTGCTGCCGTAAAGCGCCGCGACCAGTAGAGAGGGGAGTGCTGGAGGTGGGAGGTTGAGACTGGATCGACCACTGAACGGCACGGCGAATTTGTCTGTCTTAGCTTGCAAACTTTGAGCTTGTTTCCTTTCTTATAATTCTGAAAATACCGCGGCGCACCTGGGACACACCGGGGCGAAGCGCGGTGCTAAACAGGCGTTGTGGGATTGCCTGGTGGTATAGGCAAGAGCCCTTCAGGAACACCGCGAACTATTCAGCGCAGCCATACAAAATCATAAAACTAATAAAATGATGACAGTGGTGGTCATTGATGGTGGTGGTGAGGCTAATTATTATCAGGGCCTGATAAAAATTCACATTTTTTATTTATTTCCTGATCACTTTTAAATAGACATATGAATAGTTACCTCATAGTAGCTGTTGAGTAATAGACAGCTCCTTCAATAACACTGATCAACACACTTTTTCTGGCATAAGGTATTCCAACGGCTTTAGGTAATGTTGAGGTGCTGATTCCAAATCTGGCATCAGTTTTTGTCTATCACGTCAGGTTTTTGAGATATTAAATATTGCATTTTCAATAAAAACTGCAGAAGAAAAATATAAAATAAATGTGGATATCTACATAAAATGATATTATAAACACACTATCCTAAAAATACAGCACCATATTTTAACACTAAAGCAGTCACTGACTCGCAACAACTTGCAATCATAAGTGACAGAGTTAATTTCGGGTAAAATCAATGAAAATGGGGTATGCCGATAGCATAAAAATGAGATGTGATAAAGCAAATATGAGATCAGATTTGGAATCAGCACCCTGAAATTAGTCTAAAACAGCTGCAAAAGTCCAGGCCAGAATGTTTTTTTGTTGACCAGTGTAATTAAACATGTATGAGCAAATAAACTCATTAATATCAAAAGTTTAATTATTAAATGTTGCTGGTACATTGCATTATAGATAACCCTATTGCGGGGATGTCAACAAAACATAATTAGCATCATCCACTTTGTGATGCATTCTTGGGTCCAATCGTAATTTTAATAGTAACAGAAGCTCTCAAGAAATTTTAGGATCAAAGTACTTTTCAAACATTTAAATTGTTGAACCTTGCAGATCAAAGTATATTCATGCATATACGTGACAACTGTATCTAGTGAGCGTCTTTTGAGCCCTTGCTGTGCAATTTTGCTGAGAAATAAAATAATAATAAAATAATTTTGATTACAAAAATAAAATGTTACCTCAACAAATGATTGTTCCAATAGGATGTCACCATGTACGAATCCAAAAGAGGTTCAGGCAATAATCAAGCTATACTTTAAATGGATGCGATGTGTCCATTCATCCCTGCCGGCTGAACGGTATCGTGCTTCTGGTCTCGTTCCCACCGTCAGAGATCAACACACGGCACTCCTGGGGCTGCGGTCCAGGCGGGTGAAGTTGGGAGCTCTGCCTGGTGGGATGGCAACAGATGTTGGGAAAATCTATCACCAAGGCATGAAAATAATAACACCCGTGTTATAAAATGACACCCATATTATCATGATTTCCCTTGGAATGTTAACCTTTTGATTGCTACATGATACTTACTTAATGAAAATGTTGATAAGTTATAAAAAACAGTAATTCACAGGGCCGGACACATCACGAGGCAGAGGTGGACGAGACTGGTGATGGAATGGCAGCCAAAGGAGAGGACGACCCAGCGTGAGAGGTGGAGAGATGAGACCGTTCTTGAGGAGATGGATTGTGTCACTGCAGGATTGTGAGGGCTGGCTGGCACTTTGCGTGAAGAAGGCTTCATTCAGCAGTGGATAGATAATATAATGTATGCTTTGATATATTGGCGGATCCACGGGTGGGAGGTGGGGGATGAGGGTAATCTTGAGATGCTGAATATTTGATATTGATATTTACATAGAAAATGTAAGTATTATTAATCTAGGGCCCTATTTAAATTCTTTAAATTTGGAGTCGCCCCCCTCTCCTACCTCCAACTTGGGAAGCCCACAGATCACGTTCAATAATTTAAAATGTATAAATATATGTAATGTTCAACTTATTCAAAATTTTTGCTGAGAGCGCGCGGTTCCTTGCTTCAGAGCCACGGAACGTTCATCTAAATTCCGATCATTGCTGCGCTGCAAAAAAAATGTTGCCCATTATCCCATAATGTTGTTTAATTGCAATGGAAACTATGGAACGCTGGAAAAATTTCACCACACAGGGCGGGGGTGGGGTGAGGTGGGGCAATGGAAAACGTGTGGGCAACTTATCGACATTTCCGAAACACCACACGAATGAGCACCCCTCTCGCTTTATCATGGGTTCCACCACAGCACACCTGCTCGGCGGTCCTGGCGGTGGTGGCGAGCGGTGCAGCAGCAGCAGCCTTGGTAGCGCCGCGTGTGGAGGGAGAGGAGTCGTGGACGCGCGCTGTAGTTCGCACGCGGCTCACAGCGGCTGCCGTTGTTCTCACTTCGCCTCGGCTCCGACAACGGTGAGGGCCTCGCCACTTCCCCCGTTCACCTCCTTACGACGTCGACCGTCGTCGACGCAGTCGTTTGTTGTCGTCGTCGTCGTCGTTGTGTTCTTCTGCGCGCTTTCGACGACTACAAGTAAGCAGGTGAGCTTCGTGGATTGTGTTGTCGTGGTATTTGCTTGCTCTTGCTAAGCTATGCATTTTGCCGACACCAATACTGCACTGCATTTCACCCACTCAGATTTGGTGGTAATCATGTAATGCTGAAAAAACCCTTGAGCAAAGAGGAAAACATACATTAAACAACGCAGGATTCCGACAAATTGTGAAACGATGTGGATTACTGCCCCAACACACCGGTTATGCTGAAGCAGTAATAGATACATTTTGATTTAAAGCTTTCGTGACTGCAGGGATTCATATTCTTTGGTTCTTTCGGTAAAGTCACGTAGAAGGGAAATAATAAAATAATGTAAATATATTTTTATTAGAAGGGAAATAATAAAATAAAAATATCGTATTTCTTATTATTTTATTATTTCCCTTCTACGTGACTTTACAGAAAGAACCAAGAACAGTAATAGATAGACACGTTTGCTCATCAGCGTGACAACTTTATTTTAATTGGCTGCGTCGGGTGGATGAGGGTTTAAGACATACATTTCACGTGGACGATCTTACCCAAACGTCAATTACGAATCGGTAAAGATTCACTCGCAGCGAGATAGCGCTCCCGTTGGAGGTGTGTGTATGTTTCGCTGTGCCACAGGCTGTGCAGCCGTACGTTTGGCAACACATGGCAGCAAAATGTCTCCAAAGACTCAGTCCACAAAATATCAGCCTCAATTTCTCCTCGAATTAGATTAATTTCATGACATTCCTTTTTTTGTATAATATTTTAAACGATATCACGCATTATGGCTTACTGCAGCTTCCTCTCTGTAACATCTGGCGGTCGGGCGGTATTTGTTCAATGAGCCAGGTTTTGCTGATGACACCCAGGTGGAATGAAACTTGTCCAACATGCCGCTGGTAAGGCTCATCGGCTGATGGACCAAACACATACTCAATGCTGATGTACAAGAGCAATGAGCAGTTCAATCTAGATTCGAAGCTTTCGTGACTGCAGGAATTACTCTTTGGCTATTTCGGCAAAGTCACGTAGAAAGAAATTAAAATGAAATAATAATAGAATACGACGTTTCGATTGCAACACAAGCAACCATCATCAGGTACAAATAAATGAGAAAACAAACATAGTAAACTTGGAAATATAATGCAATCTTTGGAAGAACGTAATCAACCAGGCTATGTGTGAACTGTGTGCTAACCGACTCTCTGTGTTGTATTGCATTACACTTCCTAATTTTACAAAATTTGCTATCTACCGTGCTTGTTCATGGGTCCATTCTCTCCTCCGGCCGCTATGGGCAGTAATTCCACACAACGCCTCGTGCTTGTTTGTGTAGAAGTCCAGTGTCCAGCTCGTCCGTCCCCCTATGGGCAATAATTCCACATATCTCCCCCGCTGCCCCCCCCCCCTCTAGCTCTATTTAAGGCCTCGACACAGAGACGTTGTCTTTCTGTGTGCCTATGTGTGTGTCTCTCTCTCTGTTTGTCTCTGTGTGAGTCTCTCTCTGCTTGTGTGTCTGTCTGTGTGTCTCCGTGTCTATGTTTTGTCTTTCTCTCAAATTTAGCAATCTTTGGAAGAACGTAATCAACCAGGTGGGGTGTTGACTGTTTTGTTGGCCGACTCTCTGTGTTGCATTGCATTATATTTCCAAGTTTACTATGTTTGTTTTCTCATTCATTTGTACCTGATGATGGTTGCTTGTGTTGCAATCGAAACGTCGTATTCTATTATTATTTAATTTAATTTATTTATACGTGACTTTACCGAAAGAACCAAAGAGCAATGAGCAGTTGTGTATTTAAGTCTATAGTTGTACCTTCCCTGAAAATCCACATGTTATCACAAACACTGATGTTGATGCCATCACACCTCTCCGTTCTTTGGCCAGTGTCCAGCCAGCATGATAAATCGATGCCCCGCAGTTAGTCAATCAATAGGTCGCGTGAGAAGATGTAAAGTGTGGGTACTCTTGGCTTATTTTTCCAAAATGTCTGGCCATAGTGGAAGAGTAGGCCAAATACCCTCTGGAGAAGATATATTGAGCTCCCCCTAATGGAGGACAGTTTGCCAGCAGTGGTGATAGCAAGTAGTATCGGCGCTGCGCCTTACCTTACATTTCCACTGTTGTAAACTAGACACCGTTGTTTTTATAGAGTGTGTGAATTGCGTCCATATATTAATTCATAAAATATCAAACTGTCATGTTGATTTTAACAAAATGACTTGATTTATTTTCAGATTCATGAACAAAAATGCTTTTCCTGGGATATTCAATTGTGGCATTCATGGTATTTTCACACGGTAAGTGGTGCTGTCATGTTTACGATTCAAGTTGGATAGTAGTCGGTGAACTGAGTTGATGGTCTCAGGCTGGTCATCAATGATCAGCGCATTCAATTAGGCACTGCGCTTAATTTGGCAAAATTTCACCTGAGAATAAAAATCGTGGCTTGACAGCCATGCCGAATCTCACTCTCATATGTCCAGCGAGTCGGACCAGAGCGTCACCTGAGGGGAATCTCAGAGCCAGCTCTGTGATATCTGCTTCTGTGGACCATTCTAAAAAAGTTTGGGTTATGCACTTCTCTGTGAGATTTCCGTCGGGTGGCTTTGACTTATGACGTGACGCTTACAGGACAATCTGTATACAATTTTGGAAAAAAAAATGTTTTATTCAAGTGTTTGTTTGCAGTTAGATGGTATTCATAATTAATTTTAAAAAAACATTTATATCTTAACCACGGTGCATGCAGTACAATCAAGTTGTATATATCTTCCATCAGAATGAAATGAAATCCAATTAATACAACAGTGATTGTGTAACGTTATTAACTTGACATTATTTACGTAATTGTGTAACGTTATTCACGTTATATAATGAACGTTATTCAAGTTACACACAGTGCTTGCCACAAATTAACCACAATACCCTGCTGATCTCGCCAAGGAATATTCACCACCACGTGAACTCCGGTCATCCTCTCAGCGGCTTTTGGATAGCCATCGAACAATCATGGTCACTGCATTGTGCACTTTCAGATGCGCTTCAGCGGCCGTCTGGAACACTCTTCCTTGCGATATTAGGAAGCCACTGGCGCTATGCACTTTCAAATCCGGATTGAAAACGAATTTCATTAGAACTGCGTTTTGTATTTAGTTTGTTGTCCTTGCCCCGTACCTTCAATTGGCTTGGTTGGCTACGTATAGAGCGAAATAATTGCAAGATACATACAGTCACAAATCGCTCCAATTAAACGCGGCGAGTGAAGGGCAACGGCACAGAGAGAGAGCATCGGCAGACGGCAGAGTTGACGCGCAGGCCGCTCTGACCAGGGAGGACAGCGGTCAGCGTTTGGTGGATGCGCCTTCTGCCGTAGCCTCACACTGCGCCCTTTGGTGGTGCACCTCGCCTTAGGGCGAGCGATCCTTGTACTTCTAGATTTGAAGCTAATCATTGGAAAGATGTTATTAACCATGCAAAAAAGATTTAACTACACATTTTTGGACCATCTTATCTGACAGGCACTATTTTACTTTACCGAGTGTCAACATCCCCAGCGTTTAACAGTACTCTCCTTTTTCGTATTTGATTGTCAGCCAACACTGGTAAAAACAACATGGGCATTTTCGTTCTCTTCCATCATATGCACCAACAGGTGCTTGTGCACAAACATGTCCACGTACACGTACACCTCGTGCTCTCTTTTAGCCCCCCCCCCCCTTCCAATACGTCATCATGTGCACCAACAGGGGCTTGCGCACAAACACGTCCACGTCTACGTACACCTCGTGCTCTCTTTTAGCCCCCCCCCCTCCCAATACGTTCCATTCATTGGCTACCACATTCTGATAAGCTCCTCCCCTCTCCTCCCCCTTAACTTGTATTTAAGAACTTGCATCTTGGAATCCCTGCCTCACTTGATACAGCAAATCTGGCTGTGACGCTCCCACCTGATGACAGAGACTTTTGTTGCCTCCGTAACGTCGTGATTTTTATTATTTTCTTTTATTAATTTTAATTTAATTTTTTACCTACGTGACTTTACCGAAAAAACTAAGAGTATAGATCCTTGTACTGCAACTGTAACCCGTGTGGCAAACGTTGCTGATTCACAGTCGCCCAGATGCAGTCGTTGGCTTTGCGTTACCCGTCACGAGTGGACGCCACATGAAGGGGAGCCGCGGTGGCGAGATGTTAACTACCTCGCCTGGTATACAAAAGGTCGTCAGTTCGATCCCGACCCTGACGCCTGCTGTATATTTCGAGTTTGCATATTATCCCCGTGGTCACATGGAATTTTCTCCAGGTCCTCCGATGTTTCCCTTCACAGTTCGAAACATGCGTTCAGAGTATTTGGCTGTTGTAAATTTCCATGTGATAAGGCACTTCACTTCATTGGGCTATTATTTGTGTCCAGGTCACTTCTCACAAAGAGTTAAAGAGCTTAGTGGGCCTTACCTGGTAAGATATGTATATTAGTATTAAGAAGCTCGTTTCATGAATGTGTGCTGCCTGCCTGCTTAGTGGCAATTTTCCCAATAAACTAACTCTTATTTGTTGAAAGCCTCACTTCTCATATCCCATGTCTTTCTGTAGTTGTGCTTTACTAACATTTATAACATCACACGAATAAAATTCTATGTACGTCTACTATTAAGTTACATTGTGGCGTTAAGCAGGGGCGGTTTCTTCATTAGGGCGATTGGGCGACGCACCACCAATGTCATTCAACCACAGAGTCACGCTAGCCGTCACTGTGCCTCTGGATATAGTCCAATCAGCGTCATGCTACGTTCTGTGGAGTACCGCCTCTTTTTGGGCGATTTCCCTCCAGCTGAGAATCGCCCCGAGTGGTCCCATAGACTTACATTCAAAGATGTTTTTTTTCGAACGGGGGCGCTGCAATGCATTCTCTATGGCTTCCGGGAGGGCTCGCCCTAACGTGCTTACGTCATCATACGTGCTTACGTCATCATACGTAAGCACGTTTCATCCAACAATATAATTTGTCGCCACCTAGTGGAATCTTTAATAAAATAAACTTGAGTGGTTTGTTTTAATAGTGAGTATAGAAACAAACAAGATGTATTGTAAGAGTCACTTTATTTTTCATTAATATTAAAGAAGTGAAGTTGCCTTTACATGCTTAAGCTGTTAATTTATCCATCCTTATCAATCATCCACACATTTGCCCCCCCCCTGAGAGATTTTGCAGGAGCCGCCACTGGCATTAAGGATGATTACTAATAGTTATGCTCAAACTTTACACGAGTTTCTGATTCAAAACACCCTATCTGACCAAATCTGGATGTTTATTGCTCGAGTTTTAAACCATAAAAATGAAACAAATAAGAATGTGCACTCATTTATCATATTGCTGATTTAAGATGGTCATCGTGAAGCCGTGCCACCCCTCCTGTCCTCACCCACCCCTGCCCCTGCTGTGCGCAACCCCCACCACCAGTTAAATGAGCCTGACCCTGAGTCCTGAGAGTCAGGGCCAAAACAGAAAGAGTTGGGGCCTAAATCAGAAGGGGCGGGTTCTAAAAGGGAAAGATACGAGTCGTATAAAGGAAATCTGCGGAGTCGAAATAGTAAGGGGCGGGGGCTAATTGGGAAGGGGTGGGACCTTAGAAGTATTAAACAGGAAGGAGGTGGGCCGAAAGAGGAAGGTGCAGGGCTTACAGAGGTTGAATATCCCTTTAGGTTCAAGGCAGGGGTCAGCAACCAAAATTACAATAAGAGAATCAATATATGAGCCACAACGCATGTGAATAACATCGCAAAGCAGTTCTTAGAGAGCCGCATGTGACTCTGGAGCCGCAGGTTGTCGACCCCTCGTTTAAGATAATAAAGGCTTAGAAACAAATACGTGCAGCAGGCAGCATGTATTTAGTGCTGCAGATGCGAGTTTATTTACGTTATGAGAATTCGACGAACAATCGTGAGTAAGAATAGCAACTGCACGTCCGACTACTGAGGGGTGGCCCTGGTGTGGTTCAGGTGCAATGTTGCTTCTCGTATTCAAGAGTGGGAGTGGAACCCAGGAGCAGGAATGTCATGACTACTATGAAATAATGGTAACTGCTGTTAACCCTCACGCCTTGGCAGCTGTGTTCAACTCTCACAACGTGGTAACTGTTAACTCTCACACCATGGTAACTCTGATAATTGGTTTTTTACCATTCTATCTGGCAACAAAACTGACACCTTTTTACAAGGAGTCATGTTTGAATAGACCGCAATACCTGCAGTCATAATACAAACAAAAGACATAACTCTGATAATGTGCACTGTCCTTGAAGTTGATTGGTCCACACCCGAGGCAGCTTTCCTTAGAGCCTAGTCTCACATGGGTTGGACCAGATGACGCCAAAAGGCGCCTTTTGTTTCGATCGCAACACAAGCGGTTGTCATCAGGTGGAGAGAAAAGGGGGATCAAGCCTCTAAATGCAACTGTTTATAAAGGTTTAACACGTTCCTTCGGAGTGGGCAGGTAGGAACTTGGTTGGACAGCGCATTAGTGCACGACAGACAAATATGCACGACAGACAGACAAATAATCCCTGGTGGGCAGTGTGGAACCTGTTGTTCCTACCTGTATAAAAGATAACTTGACTTGAGGTAGCCAGGCAGCCAGCCAGGTAGCCAGCCCCCTTAACTATCGGCCCCTCCCCCTTGCTTAGGCCCCTCCCCTGACCCCCCTCCATTAGGCCCCTCCCCTGACCACCCCCCCATATCCTTAGGCCCCTCTCCTGACTCCCCCCTTCCTTAGGACCCTCCCCTGACCCTCCTCCCTTAGGCACCTTCCCTCTCCGTACCCGGCAGTAGGTCTCCACCAAACAAAAAGAGGTATTTATATTATATATATATTTATGCACGATAGTCAGACAGACAAAAAATCCCTGGTGGGCAGTGTGGAACATCTTGTTCCTACCTGTAAAATGGGCATAGCCCAAGTGTCAGAAGGAGTGGGGGACAAGAGCCGTGGAGCAGCATGAATGGACGAGCTGAAGTTGTGAGTGGGCGGGGCACAAGAGCCGTGGAGCAGCATGAATGGACGAGCTAGAGCTGAGTGGCGTAGTCCAAGTGTGTCAACAGCATGGGCGGGGCAGCTAATGTTAATGTAGGAGAAGACAATGGGGGAGAGAGAAGGGGTTGAGATAGGGGGAGAGAGAGGGGGTAGAGATGAGGGGCATTGCACCTCGCTTCACACATCCACATTGCTGACGGTGGAGGTTGACAAGAAATTACAAATAAAGTCATGACCCAAAGTGGTTGATGGTATCTTTCCAATGATTGATGAGTTACATTGGGGAAACTAAGCGACATGTCTCTGACCATGTTTGTGAACATAAGGCAGATTTGAAACGCGGTAGGACCAATACTTCTGCCGTAGCTGATCATTATTTTAATGCGGCTGGCTCACACGAAATTGATTCTCTAAGACGATGGTACCTTGCAAGCCTACTGGCTATCAACAAAGATTCGTTCATGAAGCCATCCATATATACAGACACAGACACAATTTCAACTGAGAAGACGGTTATAAACTCAGCAATCATTGGAAAGATGTCACCAACCACTTTGGGTCATGACTTGATTTGTAATTTCTTGTCAACCTCCCCTATCTCTCCTCCCTCTCTCTCTCCCCTATCTCTACCCCCCTCTTTCTCCCCCTATCTCTACCCCCTTCTCTCTCCCCCTATCTCTACACCCCCTCTCTCTCCCTATCTCTACCCCTTCTCTCTCCCCCTATCTCTATCCCCCTTCTCTCTCCCCCTATCTCTACCCCCCCCCCTCTCTCTCCCCCTATCTCTTTTCTACCTTCATGGTGAATTTTATGGCTGGGTGTATGGAATTGATGTGGATGAGGAATTAATTCAGAGCCGGTCGGCCATGTGGCCCGATGACAAACGTGTCATCCACGTACCTCTTCCACAAGAACGGGCATAGAGTGGATGCCTGGATGGCGTCCGTCTCAAATTTTCCCATTAAAATGTAAGCTACAACCGGAGATAAGGGAGCATCCATTGGGGTGCCTTCAGTTTTCTTGTAGAATGTTCCATTCAAGGAGAAGTATGTATTGGTGAGGCAGTGTCTCACCAGGGCTGGTACATCAGCATTCAATCCTTGATACAGCTGCTGTCACAGCCGTATCTGTGGCAGCAGTTACATTAGGGAAACTAAGCGACATGTCTCGGACCGTGTTCGTGAACATAAGGCAGATTTGAAACACGGTAGGACCAATACTTCTGCCATAGCTGATCATTATTTTAATGCGGCTGGCTCACACGAAATTGATCTCTCTAAGACGATGGTACTTTGCAAGCCTACTGGCTATCAACAAAGATTCGTTCATGAAACCATCCATATATACAGACACAAACACAATTTCAACTAAGATGACGGTTATAAACTCAGCAATCATTGGAAAGATGTCACCAACCACTTTGGGTCATGACTTGATTTGTAATTTCTTGTCAACCTCCCCTATCTCTCCTCCCTCTCTCTCTCCCCTATATCTACCCCCTCTCTCTCCCTATCTCTACGCCCCATCTCTCTCCCTATCTTACCCCTTCTCTCTCCCCCTCTCTCTCCCCCGCTTGTGCTTGCGATCGAAACGTCGTGGGTTTTTCTTCTTCATTTTTTAAAGTTATTTTTAATTTTAATTTTATTTTCTATCTACATCACTTTACCGAAAGAACCAAATAATATGAATTCCTGCAATAACGAAAGTTTTAAGTCAAAATTTTACCATGGTACCTGTTAGACCTAATTTCATGGTAACTGTTTAACTCTCACGCCATGGTAACTTTTTAACTCTCACCATGGTAACTATGTTACCTCTCACACCATGGTAGTTGTGTTAACTCTCACAATGGTAACTCTGTTTAACTCTCACACCATGGGAACTGTTAACTCCCCCACCATATTAACCGATGTTTCCTCTCACACCTTGGTAAATTTTCACTCTGATATGACAACTATAACCTCTGACTACCATCGTAACTGTTTTTAAGCCTCACACCATAGTAACTGTCACCATGGTCACTGCAATATTACTATTCACTAACCCAAAAGTAGCAGAGGATTAAAGGCATCGTTGCAATTAACTCGCTGGCTGTCATTCTGTCATTAGCCTTGACCATCCGCCTTCATTCCTGGTAGCACCATGACCTCTCCAAGCCAACCCATTAGCCGTAACAGTCAATAAGATGTATCTCACGTGAACTGCGATCCATATTTGTACGGAGTAAAAACTATTGCAGCGCTATTTAATTTACAATTATTTATTGGGTTGCATTGCGTAAGTAGATTGCCAAATGGTACCAATTAGTTCTCCTCCACCCCTTCCACCCTTCCACCCAACACAGCTATCTCACCCAAACACCAATTAATAATGATACAAGTAATCTATTATAATAACGACACCAATAACAAGATTTATTTATAGAGGGCCTTTCATACCACAAGATGCAAGGCCACTCCACGTAAGTTAAGATAAAACAAAACCTTTACAAAGACAAATGTTCTCAAAAGAATGTGCTCGTAAAACAATACAAATAGATGAAGAAAATAAAAATTATTAAAACAGTAAAATAATCACGAAATACCAGAATACAATCAGAGAGCCAAATCATACCAATTGGCCTGAAGCCTTGATTTAAATGTAGCCACTATGGTTGTATTGGGAGCATTCCGGTCGCAAACACCTACCTGCGTGTTAGCTCAGGACTACATAAATTACATATCGCGATTTGACATGATTTTTGCCAAATTGCTTATCACAATTATACATTACTAGCTTTACTACCCGGCTTCGCCCGGGACTTGGATTCACCACGCCCGGCCGCCTTTGTCTCCCCAGTGGCGATGTTCACACACCACACCAGTTACTCGTTTGAGGCTGAGTTGACCTAGGGGAGGTCCAGGACCGGTTAAAATACTCGTCACTGGTGGTGGCCGTGAGCGGGAATCGAACTCGGGTCGCCGGGTTCGTAGCGCAGTGCGCTAACCACTACACTACAATGCGTTACGCTTCCACATGCGCGGGTCACGTGACAGATTTGACGTCACAGCTCACTTGCCGTGCAAAAATGTGTATTTTTTATAATTTTTGCATGGTGTACAGTCTGGCAAATGTCAAGTTTGTTGCATGTCGGGAAGTACGCTAAACATTTTGAACAGACACACATAATCACAACTTTGCCTTTTATATATATGGAGATGGAGATTTACGTTACAATACAGTATACTTGTTCCTTACATTCATACACATGCATGTCTATCATCATCAGCCATGATCAATCCACTGCTGGATGAAGGCCTCCCCAAGCTATCACTACCTTGAACGATCCTAAGATGCAATAATCCACCAAGCACCTGCGCATGAACTAACCTTATCACTCCATCTCCTCGGTTGACGTCCTCTCTTCCAATCATATACAGTGCGCAACATTTAGAATTTTGTTCGCTTAAATAAAAACACACGTGGTAAAATGTGCGTGTTGACTTGATGTCAAGATAACGCATGTGTCTTTTGTTGTGTGTCCCAATGCTTGCTCTCTCTCCCTGACTTCCCCCATCCCGCCATTCCTAGGTGCGGCGAATGAAACCCGGGCATTAACGGTGACTGCAGGAGATCAGGTTTTGCTGTCCTGTGGTATTGCTGATGGCTCCGTAAAGAGGTGACACGGAGGAGAATCATTGTGCACAGAACACTGGACGATGGCATGGAGCAAAACGACCGTAACTCCCAATTGCAAGGCAAAGTGGAGGATGCAACGTGGGTTTTGGATATTTTGGGTTGTGAACATGAGGATGGGAATTGCGCGTCGTCAATCAATGGCGTGGCACAAACCCCTTCCGCTCTGCTGATACCTGCAGTGCGTGCGGAGGATAAAGCAACGTACCGCTGCCTATTCGGCGTTCATGCAAACAAACTTGTGCAGAAGCTCGAATATCAACTGACCGTGATCGCGAGAGAAAGAGGTAACCACCAATGGTTATGCGTATGGCCGAGAGCACAAGCCTGCTGTTTAAGACTGGCTTCGCGTCAGGTGTTCATTTTAATGCAAACCTTTTAAAAAAATGAATACTAAATTATAAAACGGGTGCTGTATGTAAATGAGTGATATATATGCAGTTGTACAACATCTTTCATAGCTTTTGTTGAATAATTAAAATACAATTTCGACTTGTCAGCACGTTAGGTGTTCAGTGCTACAGGTGTTCATTTTAATGCAAAACATTTTTTAAATTAATACGAAATTGTAAAACGTGTGCTGTATTAAATAAGTGATATATGTTCAGTTGGACAACATCTTTCATCGCTTTTATTGGATAATTAAAATACTATTTAGACTTCTCAGCGTCTCATCTGGCAAATGAGAATGGTTAGCGTCGTGCGGAGTAGTGGTGCTATGAGGGCGATGCTTATCGGTCTTGGCAGAGCAGTACGACTGATGTTGTGGCTGATATTCACAGGGGAGGAAACTGACGGAAGGACATTCGTTTCCCCCAAAAGGATGCATCTCAGGGTTGGCCACCTCCAGTACCCATGGCGGTCAGAACTCAAGTACGGTTCAGGAATCAAGCCTATCCGAAAAAACTCAGGCCAACAAAATATCAGACAGGCCCTACGAGACGCTGTTTTTCATCGCCGTCGCAACGGTGGCTGTGCTGCTGCCAGTGTCCATGTTGTTAATATACAAACTGGTGAAATTTAAAGAAGGTAAGGGCGGTAAATATAGCATTGGCATTCTGGTAAATGTTTAGTGGTTTGTGGACTTACATGTTGTATAATATCTCTTCCATCTACGTTTCTGCCTGTTACTGATTACGCCTAAGTTGTTTACACATCTGCTTCCGGCTTAGCGTTGGACAATTTTAATTCCAATTTTCATTACGCCTTACGAACTACTCAACCCATTGTTACGATCTCTACTCTAAGTTTAGTCTTCGGCCTATCTCGAGACAGGAGGACAAAGCATTGGGCCAAATTTGTCTTCAACACATTCGCAAATAAATAAGCTAATGTTACAGCTGTGTTGCCTAAGACATACCACTCCCGTTCACTGCATCATACCTAGTGTGAATATAAGGTTTTGTCTGGCATCAATTCTCGAAACTAAACTATAATTTAAAGAAAAATATTTGATCAGGTAAGGCCAATTGAGCTATTATATAGCTCTTTTTCAGAAGCGACCTGGCATTCCATTCTACAATTCACTCCCAACTCCACGTTAATACAATTTCAACCAAAGCAGAGTATGAATAAAAACTATGAAATTGTTTTGACAAAACCTCTGTGAATGTGTTTGATTGGACCACAGTTATTTTAATGTTTGCCGGCTGCTCGTACACATTTTTAAAAATATGTTATCACAAATTGTACAATTGTATCCATCGCCTCTATTTGTGTAATATAATAATTTTCATTTCAAGAAATCAGATTTGTTTATGTATATGAACACTATTTCAAGTACAATGTACTTTCTGTATGTACTTATTGCATGTATCCTCATTCACTTTTTTTGTATGCAATCATTGTTAAATGTAGTTTACATTTATTGCAAAATGTAGTCCATATTTTCTTTCGGTTGTTTTTTGGACGTGGGCAAAGTCTGGTCTGAATCAATTCATGATGACATTTTCGGTCTGAATTCTTGATAAAAAAAGGGTAAAGTTGGCAGTGCATCCTCACACATCGACTCATAAAACACAAAGCCAACACTCGCGCCGACGTAGAGAATACAGGTAACAACATAAGGAAGCAGACAATACGCCTGCTTCGCATATCTGTCCCTCCACGTAAAAAGCCATAACTTTATATTCTTGGTTCTTTCGGTAAAGTCAGGTTGAAGGGAAATAATAAAATAATAAAAATAAAACATAATCAAATTCTCACGACGTTCCGGCCACAACGCAAGCAGCCGTCCTCAGGTGAAGAACAGAGCTGTCGGAAAGACAGCGTCCTAATGAACACTGCTAAGCTTGGAAGCGTATTTTAAGCTGGGTGGGAGGAGGAGAGTACCTTGGCAAAGGAGTTTACATATCAACACGCATGCTCTATTATTTTATTATTTTATTATTCTACGTGACTTTACCGAACGAACCAAGAATATAAATCCATGCAGTCACGAAAGCTTTAAATCGAAAAGCCATAACTTTACTTTATACACGTCCCATTAGCCACATGGCACACTGTTATGTTTTATGTGGGGGAACGGATATATGAAGGAGACTCCACGGGCTCCTTATTTACTTTACGAATTCATAGCATAAGTCAATTTAGAAAGCAACGCGGCTGTAACGCGATTATGCATGGAACTTGTTTTTATTAAAGCAACGTCACTCATTGCCTCTGTGATGAAGCCCATCAGCTTAAAACACGGTCGTTGATCATTGTTATTTGAGAACAACATAATTAATATATGTTTTTTTATGTTCTAAAAACAGAATACCTGTCATTGAAATCAAAATTGCAAGGACTTGGCACACTTACTGCGCAAGGACACGCTTCGGTAAGTGTGACTTTTACGCTTTAAAATTAACAGGAAACTATAAACACGAACAGTTGTGTGTCGCGTTGTATATCGTAAATATCTTGCTTATTTGCCGCTCGGTGAACCTTCAGATTATATCGGCCCGAACCCTCCCTTCATAATTCGCTAAAGAGTCGAGAAGGGACCATTGCAGAGAGTGCAGAGGTAAAAACGGATCATTGGGCAGAAAAATACATCGAAAATCTATCGATATGGAAGAATAGAGGAATTTCAAGCATTGATAGGGAGGGAGAGAGACACGCAGCACGACCATGACCTATTTTTGGCTGGACAATCTCTCCCATGGTTTGTCCAAAGCCCCACCTGGCAGCCTTGACGCGAAACCCGTGCCGATTTCATGACACCACTGATATGCTTCCTCACCCTGTGATTGGTCAGAGCCACGTTTACATCTGTCTGGTGGATTTGCGCTCTTTGGAGGCGTGGAAACTCATTTCTTTAGAACTGCTTTTTGTTTTAGTTTGTTATCCTTCCCCCGCACCTCCGATTAACATGGCTGGTTTATGTAAGGTGCGAAAGAATTTCAAGATACGTACATATCGGTGTGGACAGCGGGGAGCAGACTTAGCAGAAATCAACACAGTTTTGTCAAGCTTTATGAAGATGCAGCAAAGAGCGGCTGCGTTATTAAGTCACCCAGACAACATGATTGATGAATAAAGGAAATGATAGAAATTAAAATTCGATTGGCATGGAAAACTGTTGATAGCATTACACACATGATACGTCGTTCTTTACATTCGCCTATCTTGTGGTCTATGTACAGTGAGAGAAAAAGTATTTGATCCCCTGCTGATTTTGTGCGTTTGCCCACTGACAAATAAATGATCAGTCTATATTTTTAATGGTAGGTTTATTTGAACAGTGAGAGACAGAATAACAACAACAAATCCAGAAAAACGCATGTCAAAAATGTTATGAATTGATTTGCATTTTAATGAGGGAAATAAGTATTTGACCCCTCTGCAAAACATGACTTAGTACTTGGTGGCAAAACCCTTGTTGGCAATCACAGAGGTCAGACGTTTCTTGTAGTTGGCCACCAGGTTTGCACACATCTCAGGAGGGATTTTGTCCCACTTCTCTGTGCAGATCTTCTCCAAGTCATTAAGGTTTCGAGGCTGACGTTTGGCAACTCGAACGTTCAGCTCCCTCCACAGATTTTCTATGGGATTAAGGTCTGGAGACTGACTAGGCCACTCCAGGACCTTAATGTGCTTCTTCTTGAGCCACTCCATTGTTACCTTGGCCGTGTGTTTTGGGTCATTGTCATGCTGGAATACCCATCCACGACCCATTTTCAATGCCCTGGCTGAGGGAAGGAGGTTCTGACCCAAGATTTGATGGTACATGGCCCCGTCCATAGTCCCTTTGATGCGGTGAAGTTGTCCTGTCTCCTCAGCAGAAAAACAACCCCGAAGCATAATGTTTCCACCTCCATGTTTGACGGTGGGGATGGTGTTCTTGGGGTCATAGGCAGCATTCCTCCTCCTCCAAACACGGCGAGTTGAGTTGATGCCAAAGAGCTAAATTTTTGACTCATCTGACAACACTTTCAACCAGTTGTCCTCTGAATCATTCAGATGATCATTGGCAAACTTCAGACGGGTATGTATATATGCTTTCTTGAGCAGGGGGACCTTGCGGGCGCTGCAGGATTTCAGTCCTTCACGGCGTAGTGTGTTACCAACTGTTTTCTTGGTTACTATGGTCCCAGCTGCCTTGAGATCATTGACAAGATCCTCCCGTATAGTTCTGGGCTGATTCCTCACCGTTCTCATGATCATTGCAACTCCACGAGGTGAGATCTTGCATGGAGCCCCAGGCCGAGGGAGATTGACAGTTCTTTTGTGTTTCTTACATTTGCGAATAATCACACCAACTGTTGTCACCTTCCCACCAAGCTGCTTGGCGATGGTCTTGTAGTCCATTCCAGCCTTGTGTAGGTCTACAATCTTGTCCCTGACATCCTTGTAGAGCTCTTTGGTCTTGGCCATGGTGGAGAGTTTGGAATCTGATTGATTTATTGATTGCTTCTGTGAACAGGTGTCTTTTATACAGGTAACGAGCTGAGATTAGGAGCACACTCTTAAAGGGTAACAAGCTGAGATTAGGAGCACTCCCTTTAAGAGTGTGCTCCTAATCTCAGCTCGTTACCTGTATAAAAGACACCTGGGAGCCAGACATTTTTCTGATTGAGAGGGGGTTAAATACTTATTTCCCTAATTAAAATGCAAATCAATTTATACAAATTTTTACATGTGTTTTTCTGGATTTTGTTGTTGTTATTCTGTCTCTCACTGTTCAAATAAACCTACCATTTAAATTATAGACTGATCATTTATTTGTCAGTGGGCAAACGTACAAAATCAGCAGGGGATCAAATACTTTTTTCCCTCACTGTACATTGTAAGGGGTCGTCCATAAATGACGTCACGCGATTTTGGACGATTTTTGACCCCCCCCCCACCTTCTTCACACCGCGTCACAAAAAATCAGACCCCTCCTCAAATATGACGTCACAAAGCTCTGCCCACCCCAAAAAAACCACATGCTTCAAATCGCTTTAAACTATTGTCATTGTAGCGCGTATTTAATATAATGTGGCGCTGCACTCTGGTGTTGTAGGAGAAAACATTTATATAAAAAAAAGTATATCTAATTAAGTAGATCGTGTTGTCTATAGTTATTTAAAGTTGCGCATTTTGATGTGACGTCACATTTCTCACCCCCTCCCCCTCGTCACACATCGTCACAAATGTCTTACCCCCCCCCCCCCCCTAGGTGCGTGGGCGTCATTTATTGACGGCCCCTAAGGAATGTAATAGCGGAGGGGCTGTGGTCAGACCTGCTGTCGTAACGGTAACGAGCAGCCAAGTGAGATATGTGTGTGTGCGTGAGTGACGGCTCTAACCGCACGCGGTGTGACTTGTCTCCTCCTGTGCCAGGATGCAGGGGAGGAGCCCCATTACTGCCCACTCCAGGGGAAAGGGGACAACTCCGAGATCTACACTCATCTGCCTGGACAAACATAATGCACGTGCACTTGTTCGGCACGCATGCTCTAGGTCAGGGAAAAGCTAAAGGCTGACCTAGAATTCCCAGGTTATTGCCATGCATTGTTATAGCAAAATAAAAACTACGAAACTATCAACTATTTTTATTTTACCAGGTAAGGCCCACTGAGCTATATAGCCATTTTTCAGAAGCAACCTGCTCATAAATGATAGCTCAACAAATTGGCTTATCACGGGAAAAAAATTAGCAGCCAAATAATCGAAACGCATATTTCAAAGTGAGGAGAGCAAAACCGGAGGACCCGGAGAAAAACTCCACGCGGGAAAACATGTAAACTCCAAATATACAGACATCAGGAGGGTCAGGATCGAATCCACGACCTCCTGTATACTAGTCAAGGTAGTTAATATCTCGCCAGCGTGGTGCCCCAAATATTAGAGGCCGATCCATGAATTTCCCAAGG